CTCCAGGAACAACGAAGCGTCGAAGGAACCGCTTGCTGGACTTCGAACCGTCTTCCTTCTTCTCCAAGTGACCTTCAACCACCAACTCTCTCTCGTTCACAGCCTTCACGCTGATCTCTCCAACGTCCATAAAGTCTTGGACATCAATGACGAACTGAAATAAGTAGATAAATAAATAAATAGAATAAAATTAAATAAAAAGAATACATGGCAAAGTCGGTTTACATGATGAGTTCTCATAAATAATATTGCTTAACAAAGTAACAAATGAAACTAGTTTATGTCTATACCTTATAATGCCGTTCATCTTCCGAAGACGTCACTGCCTGATTATCTTCCCTCATATTTCGTGCTCGTAGTTTTCTGTAGCAAGTCATCTCGTCACCGGAAGACGACTTCTCTCCCCATTTGTTCAGGATTTCCCTTACGGCTTTCTGGAAATCCTCCCTTGTGTCTCGGAAAAAGTAATCGGAGAAGAACAGCCCTTTCCTCGTCACTGGAAAAGACTTCAATGCGGAGCTACACTGAGAAACACTCGTGAAACGAGAGGACGTTCCCATACTTGTGTCTTCGGTGACGTTATATCTGTTGTTTTCTTCAGACTCCCTGTTATAGCCTCGTCCATAGCGTCTCAGTCTATTGTCCTCGAAGTTGGAATCAAGTTTGGACCTCTCTGTCCCCGACGTGAAATTACGAGTTTCCTCTGACTGTAATGTCACATTCTTGTTCAATCTATCTTGATTTTCAGCCTTCGCCTCAAGCACATGCTTTTCAGCAGAAAGTGAAGGTGATTTTGAGTCAATAATTTCTTTTGTAATGTTGCATTTTGCCTCAGTCTTTTTAGTTGTATTTAGCTCGACATTTCCTTCCTGCAAAAATAATCATTTGATACTATATTTGTATAGTGTATATGATTTTCTTTTTTCTTTTCATAGGTGATATACTCCAAGTTGTCATTAACAACATATAATTGGAACATACCTTAAAGATCACAGTAACTGTGAGGATGCCATCTAACGACATAACAGAAGTGATATCAGTATATTGCGGAAGAGAGAAGCGGTGTCTGAAGGAGTGAGAGGTCTCGAATGAGGTTCCTTCGCTCTTCACCACACGTCCCTCAATGACTAACTCTTTCTCATCAACAACCTTTGCTTGTATATCTCCACTCATGAACTCATAAACGTCCATAATTATCTGGAAACAATAAGCAGTTTTTATATGCCAACCCGTTTTTTAAAGTGCTTAGTATTAAAAAATCATGCTAGTAATGATTTACTAATGCTATCGATGGTAATCAGTATATTGATAAAAAACAATGACAGTAGTATTAACTAACCTTTAGACAAGACTTGTCTGATGTAACGATAACAGCCTGATTCTCTTCCTTCAGATCGCGAGATCGAAGCTGCCTGTAGCGTTCCAGGATATCAGTGTAACAGAGGTTAATGTCGTTCTCAAAGTTTTCTTCATTGCACCTGCCCAACACCTGCCTGAGAGCGGCACTGAAGTCTCGCTGAGTGTCAAGGAAGAATGAGTCTTGGAAGAAGTTTCCTCTTTTGGTGATGAGCAAGAACTCTTCTGGCGAATCTCTGTGAACGCTTCTCATTCCTTTCAACGATTCACCAGTTTCTGTAGACTCTTCTGTACGTACGGTTTCAGTCATCTCTTTAAGTTTCAGCTGCCCAAGAGTATCGACGACTTCTTTTTCAGAGGTACAAGAATCTCCGGATGACTGAAGGGAATCTGTGCAACTCTCAGTTACTGCCAACCGATTCATTTTACTATCCAGCGTTTCCTCAGAAACTGGTTTGGACCTTTCTTGCACAGGTACAGCATCCTCAGTGACTTCGTCAGAAGTGCTTGAAGACGTTGAGTTCTGAGTTTCTGACGTATTCTGAGCCTCAGCAACAGCTTCCTGTGAATCTTTCACATAGAGAATGCCAACAGCTTCCTGGGAATCTTTAAGATCAAGAATTTCAACAGCTTCTGAATCCATCAGATCAAAAATTTCAGCAGCTTCCTCTGAATCCTTTTGATGCAAAATTTCCGTAGATTCTTGGGAATCTTTAAGGTCAGAAATTTCTACAACTTCTGAACCTTTCACTTCAAGAATGTTAATAGATTCATGTGAGTCTTTCACATCACGAATATCAACAGATTGTTGTGAGTCTGTCAAACCAAGAATTTCAACAGCTGTACCTTTCACTTCAACAATGTCAGCAGACTCCTGTAGGTCTTGTACATCAAGAATGTCAACAGATTCGTGTGAGCTTTCCAGGTCAAGATTTTCAACAGCTGAGACTTTTGCATCAAGAATGTCAACAGATTCCTGTGAGTCTGTCAGATCAAGAATTTCAATAGCTGTGCCTTTCACCTCAACAATGTCAGCAGATTCCTGTAGGTCTTGTACATCAAGAATGTCAACAGATTCGTGTGAGTTTTTCAGGTCAAGATTTTCAACAGCTGAGCCTTTTGTATCAAGAATGTCAACAGATTCTTGTAAGTCTGTCAGATCAACAATTTCAACAGCTTCTGAACCTTTCACTTGAAGAATGTCAGCAGATTCCTGTGAGTCTTTCAGATCAAGTATTTCAACAGCTGAATCCTTTGCATCAAGAATGCTAACAGATTCCTGTGAGTCATGCAGGTCAAGAATTTCAATTGCCTGTTGGGAGTCTTCAAGATGAAGGACTTCAACAGTTTCAGATTCGTTTTCTTCTTCGGGAATGACAGAAGGAAGAGAATCATGGGAAGTCCCAAAGTCACGTGATTCAGAATTATCACCAAACGTTTCATTCAAGCCAATCGAACTTCGGCGACATAGGGAAGCTTCTGTAATTTCTGCAGACTCGGAGTAAGACACAGATGGTGATTCCTCAGCCATCACTTCTTCAGTTACAATAGATTCTAGTGTGCCAATAGTGTCTTTGCTCTGATTTTGAGTTTCTACAATGCCGAAATCAGTATCATGACTCGATGTTGCTGCAGAATCAGTCGACAGAAGGAACATTTGAGCTGTCTCAGATTTCACTGAGTTACACATTTCTTCAGAGAGTGGAGTCTTTACATCTTCGAACTCAATGCTCGTATCTTCTGCCATAGAATCCATGCTGTCATATGTGGCTTTGCTTGCCTTTTCACATTCCTCATGGAGAGAGATTGTTTCATTAGTTGGGGATACCGAGCGTTGAACTTCAGAGGATTCTTGAACTTCCTCAGTGGAGCTGATCACTTTGTATTCTTCCGATTCTTCTGGCTGTTAAACAATTCAGGTAATAGCTTGAATCTTATGGACACAGAGACATGAGTGTGTGTGTGTGTGTCGTGTATTTGCGTGTGTGTGTCGGGGGGAAGGGAGTACTTGTGAGTTGGTGTGAGTCATGTGTGTGCTATGCGCAGACAGTTTCATCTTTATAACATATAACATACGTCATATCATCTACAGATAATCAGTAAATACCATTTTTGAAGCGATGATTGTGAGTATGCCATCAGAAGACATGATGCACGTGATGCTTGTCATGTCAATATACTCTGGCAAGGAGAAGCAGCGTCGGAAGGAGCATGAGGACACGGATGAGCTTCCTTCTCTCTTCGCCACACGTCCTTCTACCACCACCTTCGTCTCGCCCACCACCTTCACCTTCAGATCCCTATTCATGAAGTCCTGGACGTCCAACACGATCTGTAAAGAGATTAAAATGTTAAACAATAAGCATAATACTTACATATGAGTATCATATTTGAATGATTGCTATTCACATAAAACACACATGTAAGCAGTTGCAAGTTGATTGGAAAACTATTGGTATTTAATTGATCTTGAAAAGACACTTTATCATATTGTATTACTCGGAGTGATTCATGCACTACTTACCTTGTAACTAGTGTTGTCGGACGTGACGATAGAGACTTGAGTTTCTTCCCTCAAATCACGGGATCGAAGCTGTCTGTAGTGGTTCAAAATATCGCTGTGATTTAGACTAAGGAAGTCCTCACTGTCTGCGCTAACCCACTTCTTCAGGACCTCTCTGATGGCAGTGTAAAATTCTTGGTGGACATCGAGGAAGAAGGAATCCTGAACGAAGCTTCCTCTTCGAGTGATGGGCAAGATTTCGTCGCGCAGTTTGATGATTTCTGTTGACTCAGATTCAGATTTCATGGAAGTTTGTTGTTCTTCAGAAATAAAGTCATCACAAGAGGCTTTCTCAGTGATTGTTAATTTGAATGTTTCAGTCAGTCGTTTGAGTTCATGATCCTTATTATTAGTATCGTTTCCATGTTCATGGACAGATGCAGTTGTAGACTCATCCACAGACTGATTTTGACAGATCTTGGCCTTTAAAACTTCCTTGGATTCAGCAGGAAATTCAAATTCTTTCTCCAGCTTTCTCATCTTGTTCTCGTACATGTGTTTTTGTTCGCACTCAAAGTCCTTCTGATCTACATTGACAAGATTCTCGTGAACGGAGATATTTTTGTCCTTTGTGGACGAGAGTGCCTTGGGTGTTAAGTCTTGAACCGTTGTTGATTCCTTCCTTTCCTCAGTCATGGAGAAGTTAACGTGCGTGTTTTGCTGTGGTTCTCCTGCCTGAATGAGATATGAGAGCGACGTTTTACTCACTTTATGCATATAAAGACTAACCTAATGATACATTGCAGTATCATTAGCATACCAGAGGTCTTTATATTTACCTTTTTATACATGATTCAGAAATGCAAACATATAGGATCTATCAAGTTTTAGAAACATAAAAGTTGATGTTATTTACCGTTTTAGGGGCAGTTATTGTGAGGATACCATCTGAAGACATGACAGAAGTAATGTGTGTCATGTCAGTGCGGTGAGGCAGGGAAAAGCGGCGTCTGAAGGAGTGTGACGAGACGGATGAACTTCCTTCCTCCTTCTCTACGCGTCCTTCCACCACCAGCTCCTTCTCGTCTACGACTTTCACCTTGACGTCTCCGCGCATGAAGTCATACACGTCAAGCACGATCTATGAAGTTTTTTAGAACAATTTTTAATCAGGAACTTAATGGAAAGAATAGCCATAGTAAAATAATAATAGTGGTGATAATCTTAATAATAATAATAATAATTTTGACAGTGATATTGATATTGATAATAGATAATATTGATAATGCTATTAATAACACTGATATTAATTTTATATGATAATGATAACAATGATAATGAAAAATAAGAAAAATCAAAAGAAAAAAAAAGAACAAACAGAATGAATGGGATAATAATGAATTTTACAATAATATATGAAAACATACTAAGGTTTTCAGGAAAGAGCTGTATATGAAGTAATTTGGCTCATCAACTAAAAGTAAAGCATTAAATGTATTATAATTATTCTGTTTCATATAATTAATGGTCCACTTTCATTGAACACAGGTAAATAGATAAAGCATTAGTCAGTGGGAATTGCTGATACATAGATTGGGGACTGACCTTGAGGCTAGCACTGTCTGACGAGACGGAGAAGGCCTGGTCCTCTTCCCTCATGTCTCGAGATCGAAGCTGCCTGTAGCGGCTCAAGATGTCACTGTGACTGACATCGTCTGTCACCGTGAGATCGGAGTCATTGCATTTCTTCAAGATTTCCCTGACAGAGGCGTCGAAGCCTTGGCGTATGTCGGAGAAGAATGAGTCTTGGAAGAAGCTTCCTCTCTTCGTGATGGGCAAGGAGTCTTCTTGCTTATTCCCAAGAGTTTTCTTTGCTCCCAGCGAATCGGAAATTCTTGTGGAAGCAAAATCTGTGATGACAGACGATTCCTTCTGTGATGATTGTTGGGTGTTGCTTGAGATATTGGAAGTTGCAGTTTGGGTTTTGTCCTCGTCGATATTCTCCTGAAAGCATCGTGCGTATTTGCGTTCCTCCTCTTGGGCTGTGTGGGATATTCCTTGGCCAGATGCTGTTTCCTCAGAAACTCCCAAGGTCGTCGAGGAAGTTGAGCTGTGAACTTCTGAAGCATTATGCGTTTCCTTGACACTAATGGGGATGACAGTAGTCTTATTTTGTGTTTCACTCTCCTGTTGGTTAAGAGAGGCGTATTAATTATGCGGAGGGCTGCTACACTTTGGATTCATTTATATAAAATCTTCATAAGGCATTAGTGAAGTACAAGAGAAGCTAGAACAATACCTTCTTGGAGGCAGTGATTGTCAGGATGCCATCTGACGACATGACAGACGTGATGGACGTTATGTCAGTGGACTCAGGCAAGGAAAAGGTGCGTGTGAAGGTGTGCGAGGACCTGGCCGACTGGGCCTCCACCAACAGCTCCTTCTCGCCCATCAACTTCACCTTCACATCTCCATCCACAAAGTCATGCATATCCACCAAGATCTATGAAATGATTCACGGTATTAATATACATAACGAAAGTTTCTCAGTCGTCCATGAAACGTAAGAATGATTTATATCTTACACATGTAGATGAATTGAATAAGAGTGTGCAGCTTTCATGCAACTTACCTTATAACTAATATTATCTGAAGTAACTGTAACGGCCTGGTTGTTACTCCACAGGTTCCGCGATCGAAGCTGTCTGTAGCGGCCCAGTCTGTCGCTGCGGTGGAAATCGTCATCGTCCCAGAAGTCCGCTAGCTGGTGATCGGCGTCATTCCAGCCATTGAGGACCTTCCTGATGGAGGCATCGAAGTCGCGATGTGTACCGGAGAAGAAGGAGTCCTGGAAGAAGCCTCCTCTTCGAGTGATGGGCAAGGATGTGTCCCACGAACCGCAGTCAAACCCAGAGGAATCAGCTGTTCTTTTGAAACCAAGATCACACGAACAGCTTTCTTTTCGTGTAGAAGACAAGTGTTCAGATGCTGTTTGTTTTCGTGTTTCGCCGACTTTCTCATGATTCGAAGCGGAAGTTTGATTGATTGCATTTTCCTTTGTCATTTCTGTTTTCTGTGAAACAAAATCAGATTTATTATTACTATCAATATAATGTTGCGGTCTTCTTTACTCATACAGCATTCCTTTGTTTATATACTCACTGTTTACAAGAAAATAATTGACTCACTATTTTTGGCGCAGTGACTGTGAGGATACCATCTGCAGACATGACGGACGTAATCGCTGTCATGTCTGTGTGTTGAGGCAAAGAGAAGTAGCGTCTGAAGGAGTGTGACGAGACGGACGAGCTTCCTTCCTCCTTCTTCTCCACGTGCCCTTCCACTAACAACTCCTCCTCGTCCAACACTTTCACCCTCACATCTCCACACATGAAGTCATGCACGTCCAGCACAATCTGGGAGATAGAATTTAAGTGTTATAACTTTAGCTATATGTAGACGCATTCTCCGATTTTAAACACTATTTAACCGTGTCTCGTCCAGTGACTAATTGGAAACAGCGATCGTTATACCGACTCACCTTATGACTTGTGTTGTCAGATGTGACTGTGACAGCCTGGTTCCCTTCATTTAGGTTACGAGATCGAAGCTGTCTGTAACGGTTCATAATATCATCCCGGCGGAAGTCTTTCACTTTCAGGTCTTCGTCACTCCATCTGGCCAACACCTCCCTGACGGAGGAGTCAAAATCCTTGTGTATGTCAGAGAAAAACGAGTCTTGGAAGAAGCTTCCTCTGCGACTGATAGGAAGGATCACATCCCATGACCTGCTGCTTGACCTTGCCTGCCGAGAGCACTTTGCAGCGGGTGTGGAGGACACTTTCACGTAGGACTTTTCCATCTGAATGGGTGCCATTTTCAAAATAGGAATATATATACACTTGTGCTATGACTTGAGAGGAGATCGTTGCAGGTGCACGTGCGCTTGTGAACTGAAGATTCCTAGGAGGACACTAAACATATATACTGTCTCTGGCGTGCTAGCGTGTGACGTGGCAGCGGCGTCACTTGGCACGAACATCTTTTGCGTGGCTGCCAAAGTCCAGAGACGTGAGTAAACATCTGAGGTCCAGTATCAGTACGACTGAAGTAGTATTGCATTACAACACTGTTCAATGCGTCGGAGGATATTTCGGGAAGATTTGCAACACTCTTTTTCGAATAAGATTATTTTTAACTTTAACTAAGGAACCTTTTACCTGGAATCGATGACATACATTCATGTACGCGTGCACGCACACACACATATATGTATGTGTGTGTGTATACATATATATAAAAGTATGTAAACACACACAAGCACACGCAAATATATCTGTCTATCAATATATATACACACACACACATATGTAGATAGATAGATAGATAGATAAACAGATGTATATCCATATATACATCTGTATATATGGAAAAAACGCACACACAACACACGCGCTAATACAGACACACAACACACAAGCATATGTATATTAAGATATGTAAAAACATACACATACTCACACAAATATCTATCTATATATATATACCTGTATATCCATATGTATTCATATATACATATACAAAAACTCACATACAACACCCACACACACGCACACAACACACACACACATATGCATATATATATATATATATATATATATATACATGAATAAAAACTCTTTACATACACTCTCTATGGGCACACGGTGGAATTTGGTTACTTATGGTTATTATCATTACTGTCATTATTATCATGATTATCATTATCAGTATTATAATCATTATTATTATTATTGTTATTTTGATCATCATCATCGTCACCATTCTCAGTATCAATTTTATTATTGTTTTTCTTATTCTTATTATTATTATCATCATTATCATTATTATCATTATAATGATGAATACCATTATCACCATCATCATTATTATTATTACCATCATTATTATTGTTATCGTTATCATTGTTATGCATATATCTTATGCATATATATATGCACATACATTCATACATACACATATATATATGTGTATATATATCCCTCTAACTCATTTTTTTTCGTTTTTTTCTCTTCGTTTTTCTCGTCTTTCCCCCAAGGATCCCTTTCACTTTTTCGTACTTTCCTGCCACTTATTGTTTGTATAATTTTATTATTCCTTTTATTTTATGTATTTTCAAGCTTATTCTAAACTTATCACACTCTATCAAATAAATGAAATAGACTGTGTTACGGGTAAAACAGCACCAAGCGCGGGAAGCCACCAGTATAAAAGATCAAGCTAGGTTGGGAGGGAGAGAGAGAAGCTTTTATCTTGTGTTGGCTGGTGTCTCTCGTGCTGGGGCATGGTGTGTATGGTGTGTTGTCTTGTATATTGGTTGTGTTCGAAAGATCTGTGCGAAATGAACATATAATATGGATGCTCTTTTTATGTCGCCTTTTGAATTAGCCAGTGATATTATTTTATTGTTCTTTTTATTTTGACCACGAGATCACTTTTACATCACCTGTAGTTGGGTAACACGCTACCAAACCAACATCTCTAACTCTACGGAGTTTGATATGAAGCGTGTTAGTGTATTTACTGGGTTGTGTATTCACGCATGTGTGCCTCTCAGCATCGGTGTGCAAATGAGTGCATTTGAACACCTGTGTGCGTGCATCTAATAGTCTATGTGGGCATCAGTGTGTCTTTTTTCTTTGGGGATAAAAGTAATAATGATAAACATTTGTTGTTGCCAGAGGCGTCAAGTGGCCGGGTGAGGGATATTTTGTCCCCCATAAATTGTGTTTCTCTCAAGCGCTCCATTTTTGTTTTGTTTTATGTACGTATTTTTTTCATGATCTTTTGGACTCTGAATTCTGGTTGACATAAAACTTATAACAAGATAATGCCTATCTAAAAATAGGATCAGTGCAGTTATAGATATAGGAAGTTATTTTATTTACATATTCAAATACACTTTTTTCTTCAAAATAAAGTATGACGGTATTTATGGCAAGGAATGTGATTTAAAAATACAAAACATGTAAACTTGTAGATATGTAGGATAGAATGCACATATAAAGGCACTCCTCAGCAGTAAAATTAATGTGTATATATCACAAAAATAATCACTTATGGAGCACAAGAATTACTTCTTTTTTTGTAAATATGCAGTTATAAATATATATAAGGACTTTTACTCTAATATTGTTTCGTATAGGAGCGATGGTAGCGGGAGCGAGAGCCAGTGCTGAAGCTCCGAGAGCTGGGGCCTTCCAGATCTGCGAGGGAGTCCTTCACTTTCTTGTCCTCCCACCTACCAGCCCTGTCACCGTAGGACTTCCTCTCACTGGAAAGTCCCCTTGCACTAGTCCTGTACTCGCATGCTCTCTTCTTGGAGATGATTGTCAAGATTCCGTCCGAGGACAACACGCAGCTGATGGCGTCTCGGTCGACGAGCTCAGGCAACGCAAAGCGACGCTCGAAGCTCACTCGGGACACTATGCTTCCGTTCTGCTTCTCTGCTTGACCCTCGACCAGCAGTTCCTTGCCCTTCACCAACTGCACTGTCACGTCGCCCTTAATGAAATCAAAAACGTCCATCACAATCTGAAAAGGAAAAAAACATTTGATTACGAAACTACCTATTCACTCTTCCCAGAAATAATCATTTAAAATGTGATATGAAATTGCTTTACGTGAAAAAGCAGTTTTACACCCACCTTGTGTGAGTCTTGATCGTCAATGATGCCAACAGCCTGAGTTTCCAACTTGAGGTTGCGCTGACGCAGACGTCTGTAGTTGTGCATGGCGTCACTTCGACAGGTCCATTCATTAGCCTTTTCCAGCACTTCTCTCACTGCTTGGCTGAAGCTGTCACGAACATTCACGAAGAAATAGTCTTCAGTGAATACACCCCTTCTGTCCACGTATAAAACCCTGGTTTCCGTTGAAAAGCTTGGAATGTCATATTTAAAGTCCTTGTCAGTTTTCATCTTTGTCTCCTCGTTGAGCATATGTCCATTTTCAAATTCTTCGTCGTTATCTTGGAAAGTGACTTGGTAGCGATCATTGATTTGCCTGGCAAATGTCCTAAAATCCTCGTCATCCGAAGATGAATCTCTGTTCCCCAAAAAGTTATCGGTGAGACGATGCCCACTTGTGAATTTCCTTGAAAACATTGCATCACCATCGTCCATGTCAGTCGAAACGTGTTTTCGGTTGTTGCCAAGCTGTGGAACAAGGAAGGTATGTGAGATTTAGGAATATTTATATTATGTATTTAACAATCACGCCTTTGGATGTATGACAACTTTTGGCATGTATTTATGTATATTATGCACATAAAGAGACACTTGCGATTTCCATATCTTTCTCTTATGTTTGAACCCTCCCATACATGAAAACATAAACAGCACTACCCATCTCTATATGACATATATCTATATATATATTAATTCATATATATATACACATATGTGTGTGTATGTGTATGTGTGTGTATATATGTAAATATATACATGCATGTACATATACTGTATGTATATATATTCATATATATTTGCATGCACGCGCATGCGTATATGTGCATGTGAACACACACATACATAAGTAAGTATAACCTACCCTCTTCGGAGCTAAAATTTTAAGCACTCCGTCAGAAGACATGACTGACATGACAGCCTCGAGCTCAATGTCTCCAGGAACAATGAACCGACGAAGGAACCGCTTGATGGACTTCGAACCATCTTCCTTCTTCTCCAAGTGACCTTCAACCACCAACTCTCTCTCGTTCGCAGCCTTCACGCTGATCTCTCCAACGTTCATAAAGTCTTGGACATCAATGACGAACTAAAATAAATAGATAAATAAATAAAATAAAATAAAAATAATACATGACAAAGTCGGTTTACATGATGAGTTCTCATAATAATATTGCTTAACAAAGTAACAAATGAAACTAGTTTATATCTAGTTTACCTTATAATGACGTTCATCTTCCGAAGACGTCACTGCCTGATTATCTTCCCTCATATTTCGTGCTCGTAGTTTTCTGTAGCAAGTCATCTCGTCACCGGAAGACGACTTCTCTCCCCATTTGTTCAGGATTTCCCTTACGGCTTTCTGGAAATCCTCCCTTGTGTCTCGGAAAAAGTAATCGGAGAAGAACAGCCCTTTCCTCGTCACTGGAAAAGACTTCAATGCGGAGCTACACTGAGAAACACTCGAGAAACGAGAGGACGTTCCCATACTTGTGTCTTCGGTGACGTTATATCTGTTGGTTTCTTCAGACTCCCTGTTATATTCTCGTCCAAAGCGTCTCAGTCTATTGTCCTCGAAGTTGGAATCAAGTTTGGACCTCTCTGTCCCCGACGTGAAATTACGAGTTTCCTTTGACTGTAATGTCACATTCTTGTTCAATCTATCATGATTTTCAGCCTTCGCCTCAAGCACATGCTTTTCAGCAGAAAGTGAAGGTCAATAAGTCAATAATTTCTTTTGTAATGTTGCATTTTGCCTCAGTCTTTTTAGCTATATTTAGCTCGACATTTCCTTCCTGCAAAAATAATCATTTGATATTATATTTGTATAGTGTATATGATTTTCTTTTTTTCTTTTCATGGGTGATTTACTCCAGGTCATTAACAACATATAATTGGAACATACCTTAAAGATCACAGTAACTGTGAGGATGCCATCTAACGACATAACAGAAGTGATATCAGTATATTGCGGAAGAGAGAAGCGGCGTCTGAAGGAGTGAGAGGTCTCGGATGAGGTTCCTTCGCTCTTCACCACACGTCCCTCAATGACTAACTCTTTCTCATCAACAACTTTCGCTTGTATATCTCCACTCATGAACTCATAAACGTCCATAATTATCTGGAAACAATAAGTAGTTTTCATATGGCAACCCGTTTTTTAAAGTGCTTAGTTTTTAAAAAATCATGCTAGTAATGATTTACTAATTCTATCGATAGTAATCAGT